CACGCGCGAGTGTTCCCTCTGGCTTTGGTGGTAGCACGTGGTGATATGATTCCACTAGCCCCCATGTTCTTGGGGCACTTATATCGTTTGCTTGATCAGGTTCAGCTTCTTGAGAAGGGAGCAGCCGGAACCATGGCCGTGGAAACTTTATTGAACTCTAGCTTCCTCCAAGTATTTCTATGGGAACGGTTCAAAGGGATAGAAGTATCTCCGCTTCCTTATTCCAAGGTCAGGGAATTTGCTGATTCTGATGGCGGTGCGTATGTGCCGGAGCAACTTCCTCTGATCTGCCGATGGTTCCGACGCATGCAGAGGAAGGGCCAAAATTTTCTAGAGTTGCTGGATAATGTTGAGAGTTTCATCTTCCGCCCTTATTGTGCCTTGTCGGAGGGATTTAGACATGTGCCTCTTTACGCTGACTCCGATGATTTGATTGAGGTTCCGGCAACCACGGCACGGGGTCGTCGACTACGAAGAGAGGCTCTGTTGAGTGCCGCCTGTTTTCCTTTGCCGACACTGGGTGACGACCATTTGGAATCTTCTGTGTATTACGGAGCTCACCGAGTCAGACGGAAACTCGGATTTGATCAAGGTGTGCCTTCTGATCCTAGTCATGGGGATCCCTTTTTATTGCACAAGGTTTTTTGGACTGAGGGCAATGTGCCGAAAGATGGCAGCCTCTTTGCTCTAGCTTTGGCCGACAAAGGGCGCGTCGGTGGCCTTTCTAAAGCTTACCGAAGCTACTGGAATCGCTGCTTTGCTTCATTCAGCCGGTTCCATGCTGCTCATTGCGACAGGTTGCTTCCCACTGTGATCTACCACGCTCGTCTAGTATCAGAAGAGAAGGCAATTTCTTTGAGTGAAAAACGAAATCTGCCCTTTACTTCCAGAAGTGGGGAAATCGTTGGTGACTTCTCCAAGCTAAAACAGAAGTTAGAGAAACCCAGCTCTCGTAGTGCCGGAAAAAGTGCTACTCATGGGAAGCGGAAGCGAGAGGAAAGCCCTAGTGTTGAGAGGAAGAGGCATGCTGCAAAAAGCCCAAAAAGATTTATTCCTAAGGTAGCGGCGAGCGGTCCTCCCAGCCCCAAAAAGAATGCTCCCACAGTGCCCTTGTTACGGCAGCAACCTGTGGCCTCCGCCAGCAGCAAGCAAGTCGGTAAGACGCCGGAAACTCCGCCTTCTCTCAGTAAGTGTCACTTACTAGTTACTCGTGTCTGTGTGTTCTTTATTTTCTCCGATGCCTGCAAAGGTAGGGGCGAAAGCTCGTGGTGATATATGTTCTCTTTTTTTTTTTTAATTGTTGGTTCTGGACTTACTTCCTCCCCCGCTTTTCAGGTTCCTCCCGGATCAAAAGCAAAGACAAGGAGGCTCCCGTGATTCCAAAGCGCCGAAGCATGCGCATACTTCAAACAAGATTCTCCGATGCCCGCAAAGGTAGGGGCGAAAGCTCGGGGCCTAAGGTAGTAGTGGCAGTTGATGATGATGAAAGTGATGAAGATGGGGATGCTGTCGAAACTGGGATTAGTGTCCATGAGCAAGAGGGCATTCGCAACACGAGCGACACAGATGAGGATCTTGACGAGAACCAATATTACAGCCGTGATGAAGACACCTACCTGGATCCCGATACTCACTCGGAGAAGCCGGATACCCCGTATATGCTTCCCGGATTTGCTGGCAGCCATGAGCGACGCATGAACTTTGTACCGGTATCAGACATCCCCCCTATTTGTTTTATTCATGCACGTGTGCTGCGCGCTGCCTGTTTTAACTCGCCACTCATGCTCCATTTTTTTTTCTTCTGCAGGTTGTTCTTACCGCTGTGGACATAGCACATCCTTCCTCAGAGGTTGGCTCTTGTCTTCTCGTTGTTGTCACCGACACCACACAAACCGCCAACCAGGTAACCGTCGTTGGTTTACCCTCTTCTATGCCCTGGTCTTGCCTTCTCTCATTCTATCTGTCACTCTGCCTTGCTCTTCTTTCCTTTCTCAGACTGAGGGTGCTCCACAAGGCGCGGAGGGTACATCCTCTACTCCTCCGATTGACGCAGTCGTCAATGTTGCTCTGCATCTTCCAGCGGCACCTACTCCTACTTCGACCCTCCTCAACATAGCTGCTAGCACCACTCCAGACCTTCCAGCAGCATCAATCCCTGTTTCAGCACCCCTCGACATAGCTGCTAGCACCGCTCCAGACCCTCCAGCAGCATCAATTCCTGCCTCAGCCCTCCTTGACATAGCTGCCGGCACCACTCCAGTCCTTGATGCGGGCCACCCAATTGGTAGTGCTTCCACAAAAGTTTATGATGTAGAGTGCTTATTGGAAAAAAGCATGTCTTGGCAAGATTGGGAGACTTCCTTCATGGCGTTCAAAGCTTTCTTTGATGGTGGCGTTAAGGTTCTCCGGTCCATCGACAAACTTCTTCCTCTCTGTTACAGGTTTAATGGGTATGCAATCTTCCTAGGTGCCTCCGTGTACCCAGAAACAATTGGAACCTTGAGGAAATTTATGGACAAGTACGGATGCTTTGCAGAGGTCACGGGTATCACTTCATCCTTTTCCAGGAGCACCGCCCTCCGGGCTTTGGGTTTGGTACTTCATGGGATGGACACTATGGAGCTTTTGGACATCACGGATCACCGGCTCCTTTGCTGGCGAGATGCGATCTGTGAGGCCATGACTTTAGGGTTTCATGTGGACCTTCTCCTCAATCTAGTGAGAAACTTAGCACACGCTGTATTTGGAGCACGGGCTATTGACAGTATGAGATCGCTGCTGGGTTCTGACGAGACAAAGGCTGCAGCCGACACGCTGAACCTAAAGCAACGCGAATTGGAAGACAAGCATCGTGAGTTCCAGGCCTTGCTTCTCGCTAAGGGTGTCTCGGTTGATAGTGCCGAATGCATGGCTGAGGCAGCGGCCAGGTCGTCTCTCAAAGCTTCTTCCGTTCTCTTCGGGCATTCCTCATAGCTTTAAGGTATGCAGTCCCTTTTTTTTTTATTTCTCTGTCGCACTACATCTTCCAGCATCACCTGGCCTTGACGCATGCCTTCTCTTATTTTTATTTTTTTGCAGGTTACCCTCTTTGACTTGGAGCCACTTGGCTTGATGTGTAGTTCCTCATGACCATAGGACATATCAACCCTCAGCATGTATCACTTGATTTCTTTTGCTATGACCATGTACCTTTTGGATAGTACAACAACTGTGTCGTTTTGCGATGTAACTTTGAACCGCTGGAACTTGTGTCAATTTCTGAATGCTTGAGGGATATTGTAATCTCATATATATATCTATTGCTCATTTGGAAAACTTGTTCTTGTGAGTTTCTGGAGATTTTCTGACAGGTTGGATATCCTAAAAAAACAAGGCATATGCTGCCAAAATATCAACAGGAACTCCAAACAAAAATCTTTGCTGTATTGCCTTTAGAATCTCTTTGCGAGGCTTTGCCTTAATCATTTGGCCCAAGATGCACCCCCTTTTTTTTTCGAGAGTTTCTGACAGATCGGATATCCTCAGAAACAAAGTATATGCTGCCAAAATTTTGGTAAGAGCAGAATTCCTAAATTTTCTTCGCATGGCTTGCCTAACTATTAAGCTTGAAAAAACACCTTCTTATCATGCCTCGAGAGGACCAGATTTGTGTGCCTGGTTTTCCCCAAAATTCTCAGATGTTTTGAATTGCTTATCGAGGGGGGTATAATGGTTCTAATGTTCCAGCACCTCAGGAGTTGCATGCCCCCTTTTTGTATATATATATATATATATATATATATATATATATATATATATATATATATATATATATATATATATATATATATATATATATATATATATATATATATATATATATATATATATATATATATATATATATATATATATATATATATATATATATATATATATATATATATATATATATATATATATATATATATATATATATATATATATATATATATATATATATATATATATATATATATATATATATATATATATATATATATATATATATATATATATATATATATATATATATATATATATATATATATATATATATATATATATATATATATATATATATATATATATATATATATATATATATATATATATATATATATATATATATATATATATATATGTTTTTATTATTGTTATTATATACGTATATATATAGTATTTGGTGCAAGGCGAGTTTGGTGCTACATAAAGGAAAATAATAGCTCAGAGACAGATTTTCTTTTTCAAAATACTCCTTCCTTTTCATTGCAAAGCTCATGCTACCATAATGGTGCATTATACAAGAGTTTCCAAAATACTAAGTAAGAACATAGAAGGAGTTCATATTTAAAACAAAGGAAAATACCATAATAAAAAATGCTGGGCATGAAATGAACTTAGCAGTAGTAGGGCTTGAGCCACTTCCCATTGATGGGATCCGTTAGCATGCCTTCTTTGACAGAGACCAAGCGATAATAGCCGCTGTTGTAAACTTCTTTGACTGCAAATGGTCCTTCCCATTGCGGGGCGAACTTGGAAGGTCCCGAGACTTGTCTTCTAACATGCTCGACAACTTTTAGTACGAGGTCTACTTGCTTGAAGGCTTGTGGCTTGACTGCCCTGTTGTAGGCTTGGGTAACAGTTTTGTGGTAAAGTGCTGTTCTTCTTTCGACTTCCTCTCTTTTTTCATCCAAGGCCTCCACGTCTATCAGGTGCCACTCCGAGCATGTCTTCGCATCCCATTCAAGGTCATTGACATCCGATACTCTAGCAGTGGGTATAGTAATTTCAACAGGCGATATGGCATCGGAACCATAGACAAGCGAATAGGGTGAGAAACCTGTAGCACTCCTTGGAGAGGTGCGGTAAGCCCATAAAGCATCCGGTAGGTGGACACTCCAGCCTCCTTCATACTCATACACCATTTTGCTTAGGATTCTCAACAAAGTTTTGTTTGTGGCTTCCGCTTGGCCATTTCCTTATGGGTAGTATGGCGTGGAACGACGATGCTTGACACTATTGCCGCTAAGCGTCGAGCTTACTTGCTTGTTAACAAATGGGGTACCATTGTCGGTGACGATCTTGTATGGGATTCCGAATCTGCAGACGATGTATTCACGGATGAAATTTGCAATGGCAGCCCCCGTGGCCTTTCGGAGATGAATTGCTTCAACCCACTTTGTGAAACACTCAGTGGCTGTGAGGATCCATATGTAACCATCAGAAGGTGGGTGGATAGTTCCAATCAAGTCAAGCCCCCAAGTGTGAAAAGGCCAAGGAGTATGCATGTCCTGCAATAACGTGGGAGGCTTGTGACTTAAATTGGCATGAACTTGACACGTATGACACTTCTTCACGAAATTGTATGCATAATTCTTCATGGTAGGCCAATAATACCCAACATTCAGCAGCTGCCGATGGAGTCTTTTCATCCCTTGGTGTTCACGACATTCTCCAGCATGAATTTCCTGCATCACTTGCTGCGCCTCAGGTTCTCCCAAGCATTTCAAAGGTTCACCTTTAAACCCTTTGCGATAGAGAGTGGATCCATCTATGAAGTATCTCTTTAGCGTCCTTTTGAGCTTGTGGGCATGCTTAATGCTGCTTGGTAGAACTCGTTCGATAAAGAATGCCAAGTATGGTGCCCTCCAATCTTCTGCAAACGAAATGGTGAATGACTCTTCGGTGGAGGGTATCGTTGCACAATTGGGACAATTGGTTTGAACTTCAGCTGCTTGTTTCTTCATCTCTGGCCAATAATAACCCTTGCGTTGCAGGCGTCGATATTTGCTGATTATTGGCTCCAAATTGCAAGTGGCTTCATGTACCTCTCGGAGTCTCCTTTGTGCTTCTGTCAGTCCTATGTAGCGGGTCAGAATACCTCCCGGCAGGCGTCTGTAGAGTTCGCTGAAGATAACCACATAATCCTTCAAATCCTTGATGTTGCTTCCTTCAATCAGATTTTCTTTCACAGATTTTCTCCAATCTTTTTCTTCCAGCGGCTCCTCTTGAGCCATTGCTTCGACTGCTGGAACATCTCTTTTTATTACGGTGATATTGGGTTGCTCTTGGATGAATGAGAGCTTTGACCCCAACGTAGCCAAGGCATCTGCATACCTGTTAGTAACCCCCGGAATATGTTCCAACACAACTTTTTTGAAAGAACCAATAAGCCTTTCAGCAGCCGTACGATAGGGTGCCAATGTTGCCTCCTTCACAGCGAAATTCCCTTGTAACTGACTCAGCACCAGGTTTGAGTCGCCAATAATTTTGATTTCCTCTACACCCATCTCCCTTGATGTAGCCATTCCCATAATGAAAGCCTCATATTCTGCTGTGTTATTTGTGCATGAGAAATTTAACTTGAATGAGAGAGCCGTAGCTTGCCCCTCGGGATTAATGAGAGAGCCAGCATGTCAATAACGGCTTGTCCTTTGATGGCCTTAGGAGTTGTGCATGTGATATCAAATTCGGACAGCTGCAACAACCACCGTGCAAGACGTCCGGAGAGCACCGGTCTTGTGAGCAAATACCTTACGGGGTCAGACTTTACTATGAGCTGTAGCTTGTGGGCAAGGAAGTAGTGATGCAAGCGCTGTGCAGCATAGACAAGGGCAAGGCACAAGAGCTCGGTCTTCGGATATCTTGTCTCAGCTCCCCTTAATTGCCTACTTACGTAGTAAATAGGGTCTTCTTCTCCATCATGGTCATTTTGAGCAAGTAAGGCCCCAACTGCTGCGTTCGTTGCAGCTAGATAAAGCTTGAGAGGAAGTCCCGGAATAGGCGCTCTCTTGGTGGGCAGCTTAGTAATTATCTTGGCATTCCTTGCTCCATTCGTATGGCCTGCCCTTCTTGAGTAAGGGAGCAAAAACACTCATAGTGGCAGCAAGACCCGGGATGAAGCGCCGAATATAGGATAATCTTCCCATGAAACTTTTCAACTCCTTTGGATTTCTTGGAGGTGCGAGGGAATTTATAGCTGTTGTCTTTTCCGGATCAACATCTATGCCACGCTGATGCACTTGGAACTCCAAGAATTTTCCGGATGACACCCCGAATGCACACTTTTTGGGGTTCATCTTTAACCCATACAGCCGACACCTTTCCAGCACCTCTCGATGGCCTTCTCTAGTTTTTGACTTCACCACAAGATCATCCACATAGTCTTCCACCTCTTTTCCCATCATATCGTGAAACACTGCTGTCATGGCTCTTTGATAGGTGGCACCAGCATTTTTAAGACCAAACGGCATGACCGTGTAATAAAAATTCCCATATGGTGTTCGGAAGGCCTTCTTCTCAGCATCTTTGGGTGACATTTTAATCTGATTGTAACCGCTAAATCCATCCATGAAGGACAGCAAACCTTGACCCGAAGTTGAATCAATTAGGATATCCATGTTGGGCAGCGGGAATTCATCCTTTAGGCAAGCCCGGTTGAGGTCTCGATAGTCCGTGCATACTCTGATTACTCCGGTCTTCTTTTTTACGGGAACAATATTTGCTAGCCATGTTGGGTGCTTGATTGGCTTGATGAATCCAGCAGCTAACAACTTCTCAATTTCCACCTTGATTTGCTTTTCAACTTCAGGATGAAAATTCCTCCTTGGCTGCACAACAGGTTTCGTACCAAGCTTAATATTCAATGTATGGCTTACCAAGTTTGGATTTAAACCGGGCATTTCCTCGTAGCTCCAAGCAAATACATCTCTGAATTCTCTTAACAAAGGCACTAAGGCCTCCTTCTCCTCATTTGTTAAATGGATGCTGATGGAGATAGGCTTTGGGGCAGAGGGGTCGTCACTCAGATTAATTGCTTCCAGCTGCTCAGCTACGGCTGTTGATCCATCTTGCATGTGTCTAGGTGCTATCATTGGCTCCTGGAAAGCGCAAGACGGGGATGTTTTGTTATTTGGACCCTTACGGCTGTTTGTTTGCATGGCTTCTCCTCCATACTCGGGGCTTTCCCATAGGACACGGTCAAGCCCCCAATCCCGTCATAAGCTCTACACGATGCATCCGTCTGGCAGTGTCACTTTCAAGCATTGGGAATGATTGTAGGCATGGTTGTTAGCTTCCGAGTGTCTCTTTCTTTCTCGCTCAACGATGGTGATGAGTTCTTCATTGCTTAAATCACGAATTTCAGTCCATGAGGGTAGGTAGATTCCGAAATCCTTAGATGGGTTGCTTCCAGCGCCTATGCACTCAGTGTAAAATTTTGCCTCGGAGTAGTGGGCTTCGTCTTTGTTGAACGGCGCTTGATTCCCAAGTATGCGAAATGGCCTTAGCCCAATCCTTCCCTTCACGCACTGATGGTAAGTAGAGACCACAAGTTTATGCTTGTTGAGCCATGGCCTTCCAAGTAAAGCATGATAAGCCACATCTACATCTAC